CGGCGTCATAGGCGACGTGCTGGATTGACGGGCGCTGGGCTCCAGGACAGGGAGCCTCTCCTCCACCCCTCGGCCCCTCCTGTCCCACTCTGGGCCGCTCTGGAAGAGCCATCAGGCCCCAGAGGCGAACAGCAGGTAGCCCACTCCCTGCAGCCAGGCACAGGGCCTGCCTGCCCTCCTCTTAACCCCAGGAGCATCGACATCCATCTCGAGCACCGTGGGGGTCCTCCTCCAGCCCTGCCCCCTCCTTTTCTCTCTCTTTTCCTTTTTCTCTATCCTACCACTCTGTCTTTCTCAAAAATAATCACTCTATCTTCCTCTGTCCTCTTAATTCTCTGCTTCAGCACCAAAACTAATTCTCTCTACTTGTTTCCAGCTTTTCTGTCCCTTTTTCTGCCTTTCATTCTAGCCTACTGAGGACAGTGTGTGGTGCTACGCCCTTAAGACCAGAAGTGACTGTTAGAGATAAGGTTTGATTTGGTTTGTCTTGAAAAACATCACAAGCACCCAAGAGAAAATACTGATTTACTGACCAGTAATATAAAAAACTGTCTCCTTCATATGCTAAGTAATTAAACACTGTTTTGTAACACATTTCAGTAATACACAATTCAAGCTGTGCTGTGAATCACCTGATACATATTTTTACATGAATAAAAGCAATTCCTTTGGAATCAAAACTGGTATCAAAGTGTAAAAACCTAACCCTACAACAAATATTTCAGCTATTCAGAAATCACATACCGGGTAACACCTTGCCTTCATCAGACATGGTTGTCAACACTGTCAGGGTAAAAATGTGCTTGACTGGAGTCTCACTCTGGCCTGATCTGGTCTCCCTCCTGCATGTACACACATGTACACTTATACAGTCACCTGCAAAAGTCTGAATACTCCCTGGTCAAATTACATGTTTTGTTGATTTTAAAAGACAAAAAAAGATATTTAAAGATTTAAAAGATAATGCATAAGGATATACACATAGAACATATGCTCTTTCTGCAATGTAATGCATGGGATGCACACTCATTCCACAAGATAATGCAAGAGAGATGCACATGCATATCACAATATGATATAGTTACAGTTACATGAAAATAGGTTCTTTTACAGGGAACTTAAATATGGCATTTTCTTCAAATTGTATTGCATAAATTCTATTTATTTGAGTTAACGTTTTGGAAGAAATAGAAAACATAGAGTATAAATGTGCCATATCTTTTGCACAGCCCGCGTTTTATTTTTTCCCCAATATGTTTATTTTTTCAGCAAATAAACAGTACTTGTTATTGCATTAACTGTGTTCTCTGTCCAGGATGTGTACTTATATTTACTTTTACTGTTTATTTGACTGGGGAAGCCCAAACTTTTGCATACTTACACTTATGTCCACAAAGTAGACTAAATCAATAACAATTTACTTGCTCCACTATATAATGCATAAGAACCGCAATCATTCTGGAGTATAAAGCATAGGATATGTACTTGTTTCACAAGATAATGCATAAAGATATACACATAGAACATATGCTCTTTCCTCAATGTAATGCATGGGATGTGCACTCATTCCACAAGATAATGCAAGAGAGATGCACCTACATATCACAATATGATATTGCTATAGTTAACTAAATAATTCAGCTTATATTTCATTTGAATGAAGGAAACAGAAGAACATCAGTTCTAAAACATAAGTTCTAAACACAACTGCATTAAAATGACTAATTGGTAATTGATATGTTCCAAAATTTTGCAAAACATATATTGTATCACCTTGGATTACAAGACATTTCATTTTCAGGGCTACCAACTGTCATATATTGACTATAAGACTTATTCATTGAGGTCTAATCCCACACTCTCACTTGACATTTCTCACACATTTTCACATTTCTCCTCAAAACGACCTGATGAATCTGAACACTCTTAAAGTTTTCCACTTTACTGTTCACCGCCAGCTTTACTGATTAAAAACACTGGACTACTTGAACACAAGTAAAGCAGAGCACACCAGCTAGTCAGTCACTGCCGCATTCACATCAGATCGGTGAGGGTGGGACCGGTATCCATAGCAACAGGAAACCAATGAGAGATGTCTGTGGAAGACTAATCAACTGTGTGATTCTGCTGGTTACCAATAACAGGAGCTTTTTAACTGATCTGTGTTCGGTATTCTCTGTAATTGGACTCTATTCTGACTTCATTAGAGTAGGCTGACCAGTGCAGTGGAGAGCTAACAACAAATGATCAGGGCTGAACTAGAACAGGACTTACAGCTTTCAGTCTTTGCTCCTCTGAAGGCTTAAATGTTGTCACTCTTTATCAAGTCACTTAATGTGACAGACTAATATTTTATGAGTGGGTTAACCAAAAATTCTACCTGTATGTATTTATACAGCCAGGCCTGGCATGCTGAAATCTTGCTCTAACAAAAATGTAAAAGTTGGCAGCCCTGCATTTTGTCATTACCAAAACAGTCATAACAATGTTATGGTAGTGACTGTTTCGGTAGTGATAATTTTAGCTAAGTTTGAGCATAACTTAAAAACACTAGCCAGTACATGACTAGCAAACACTGCTTTGAACAGCTCTACCCACATAATATTTTTCCATTAAAATACTAAAAAGTTAAGTTCATTGCAGAAAATGTGTTTCGGTAGTGACATTTATTACGGTTACACACTGATTTTCAGGGTGTGGCTAAAATACGGCTCCACCTATGGACTCAAACTCTGTTTGTCATTAGTGACATGAATACATAGGACAGATTTTTTTTCCTTTTATTAAAGTTAAACTCATGATAAATATAAATATTTCAACTCCACTTTAAAGGAAATCTTTTTCACAAGTTGAAATTTAGGGATTAGGGCTTGGGACAGTCTCCCAATAGAAAATATCCCATAAGTGATGATTTTGTATATATTTAACATATTATTTTTTCAATTAATGGCTTGGGTATAAATAGATTATAACCTTTGTAAATATCTAAGGTCTGAATACAAAAAAAATAAGTTTTTTTTTTTAGGGACTGCAGTTTGAACTAATTCGGTAGAATGGTCCAAACACAAAACAACCATTCTATAATACAGATTCCTGTATTGTGGTGATTCGATACAACAGTGTACGGACGTAGTCTCAAAGGCCAGCGTGTTTGTGCCAATGTTGTGGTACAATGACTGCTCTCTCTCATATCTCCTAGTGCCCCCCTCTCTTTGCCGGGGCTGTCCCGCTGCCCAGTGGGTTATGCAGCAGCAGTGCATTCCCATGTTAGTCATCCTGCTGCTTGGTTAGGCAGTGAGCGACGGAGAGCTGGATGTGGGGTTAATGGGGAGCCCAGTGCTGCCTTAGGCCATGCAGAAGTGCTCAGCCATGGAGTCAGACTGTTGACTTTAATGGGCCATTAATACTGGGCCACTTCAACACAAAACACGATGCACACACATCAAAGGTTAAAAGAGGAAAAACAACAACTCTGCAAAGCATGAAACAGAGGAAGTAGAGAAGTGTGCATGTGTGGGCCCTTCACTCTGTTTGCTTTTGGGAGGGAATGCCATCCAAGAGTTCCCACTGGAAAACTGCAGACAGGCTTTTGGGCTTTCTGTCTTTAACCCTGCTGGCATACTCATTTCTCCTGCCACCCATCCCCAAAACGACCAAGATACTTTTTTTTACATTTTTTGCTGAATTGCTAATACATGTGAACCAGAGTATAAATCGAAGTAATTGAAACGCCATCTTGAGGTGGCGCCCCCTTGTGGTAATAACACAGAATGCCTCAATATCCTACTAATCCTGCTTTTCCAAGCTGATCTCTCTCTCGAAGGGGTCAGGCTCTGTTACACACCTGATCATCCCACTAGTTTTCTCTTCATATTCCGTCCTAGATCTGCAGTAATTATGTAAATTAACTCAATCTTGACATTAGGGCCTTACATGACCATTTACTCGCCCAATCTCACGAACATGTCTTGATCAAAAAAGTTTCGCTTGTAAATAGTTAACCCTTTAAGTTAGCCAGCCTCTGGGCGTCGGCCATACTTCATTTGGGCTATTTAACAAACTGAATAGCTGCAAAAAGCTTATGCGCGCTGGAAGTGGCCTAATTAATGACGGGCCATCAGCAAAGGTGGAGGGTGGAGTGCAGTGATTTTATGGCGATTACATATGAAGTCAAACTGGATGATTAATTTGCGAACGATGACCTGAGTTGACCTTTTGTTAGCATAAAACGATCAAAATGATTTGACGAGTGGGGAAAAGTTACTTCACGCGTCTCTAATTTTAACACGGTGTAATTTGGTCATTTTCCCCCAACATTCACTGAGAATATGGACTGATGTTTAGAGAAACAGAAAAGAAGGTAATAAAAGTGTGTCGTTCTTCAGGGAGCAGCTAAAGAAGGGTGACGTTTTAAAAACGCTAATCGTCTGTAATCCTTTTAATGTCTCACACTTCTCTTTGACAATACACAAGTCTCAAGGGAGCGAGTGCTGCGGTGTGGTGGTGTGTGAGGGAGGGGTGGTGGGTGTGTGCGCCACTGCACAAAATCCTGAGGTTCGGATCCAAATTAACTAAGTTAACCTGCTGCCCTGGTTAGTGAGAGAGTGCTGGGATGAGTTCGCTCGGTTTGGGCCGTTCTGCTGCCATCTCATTGACACGCGGTCTGCTCTGCCCAGCGCCAGCAGCGCGCTGACTCGGATATCTCTATATAGGAGCTCAATCTGCTCCGTACAGTCAATGAGAGGGAGTTTCATCAATATAGTCCAATTAAGCGTGAATCCCTCGCGCCCTTGCTCAGAGTTAGACTCCCCGATAGAGCTGCTCCTCAACTCAGGTGAAGTATACTTTAAATTCAGGGGGAGGGAGGAGGTGTTTGGTGGTGGTGGGGCTGTCGCTTTTGTTCTGTTGAAAAAGGAGGGGGCTTGCTCCTCCAGGACCAACCTACCATTTGAACCAAGGCCGTGCGCGCGAGCGGGGTTGACATTGGAGCCTGGCAGTGGGAGAAGAGGAGGGGAGAATAAGAGAGGAGGCCACTGAGTCCCAGCACCACTGCTTTCCTGAAGAGAGCCACCATCAGCACGGGATGCACCGTCCTGCTCCTGCTGCCTGACATCCAGCACGGGAACACACACACACACACACACACACATACAAATAAACACACACACACACACGTCCAAGGACTCCCTTCTGGAGCTTACCGACGACTCAGCGCGGAGAGGCAGCATTTTTACTGTCATTTCTGATGGACGACATGACTTGGCTTTTGCTTGGTTGACTTTTTTTCCTTCTTCGTGCAGACAGTGTACTACATGTAGTAGTAACATCACGACTTGTGTACTGTAACTTGGAAAGCTTGGACATTTTCGCATTAAGTGCACTTAAGTCAGACTTCGTAAAGGAGCGTCGTCTCTCTGCTTATAGCGGACGTTTCTCCTGTCCTCCCGCTGATCGGATCGTCGCCTTGTGCCTCCGCGCTTTTGGATGTCCGCGCGCAGGCTTTGGCTGAGAGGAGCTCCCCTGCGTCCAGTGGAAGAGCCGAGCTGTTATCTGTCCTTCACATCACGCGCTAATCTGGTGCGCTGAGTTTTATCTCTGCGGCCCGTTCCCCTCAATCCACAATGAGATTCATTCCGTCACGATTAAGTTATCTGTGAGTATCCTGCGCGTCCTGCGCACTTTTACGCATTTAAACCCTGCGGTTTGCTCGGTGGCAGTTTATTAATCTGAGACTCTCTGTTTTATTTTTCTCCAGATTTCTTCACCTCTTTGCGTTCTGCTACTATGCTCAGGTATGTAGATTTACACCCATTACATTACAGTTTTTGCTGTTATGGTATGTCATATGGCCAGACTTTAATTGCATGAAATTACATAGTATGAGGCACAGTACTAAAAAAACTTAAAAATCTTTCTTTAGTAAAGATAACTGTGAGTTCTATATAGAACCATATACAACACCTTCTCCATCAATCTGAAGAACGATTTCACCATGCAAAGAACCGTGCCTTTACTAAAGAACCTTCTTTTGCAAGTATGCTTATTGTACTGTAGGCCTGTTATAGTGCACGTGTAGACCAAAGCATAGTCAGCATGTTAAAAAAAGGAAAAGTCTAAATTGTGAGTTCCAAAAGTCCACCACTGGTCATTGGTTACAAATGCAAAAGTGAAGAGAAAAGTGTGCGCGTGCGTGCGTAGATTTCGTTAGCGATCAGCTGGCTCTCGCAGTGCAGGGCTCGCGCCGCACGCGCCGCAGCCCGCAGGTACCGCGCCAAGGTGAAGCGCACAGGGCGCGCGGAGGAAAACTTTACGCAGCACTGCGCTGGAGGACCTCAGCTAGAGCGGTTCCTCACAGGCTCTAGCCTGATTTTAGAGTGAAATGAATAAGCCGTCACATTTATTAATTTCATGCAATTCTCGCTGCTGGCTCACTGTATGCAGTCCTTTTAATGTTCGCACAATTTATAGGCCTCTGCCAAAGCCTAATGAGGCAATTCTGCACGTATTGATTATGTCGTACTTAATTTCTGACAGGTAACCATTCAGTCCCCGCCTAATTTTACACAGCATGTGAATGAGCAAAGTAGGGTGACGGACCGTGTGAGCCGGAGACTAATTCGGACCTACCAGCTTTACAGCAGAACCAGCGGCAAGCACGTCCAAGTCCTGGCCAACAAAAAGATCAACGCCATGGCCGAGGATGGAGACGCTCATGGTGAGAACAGCCTCATGTTAGCGTTTTTGATCGATGCTGTGTTTTGTGGTTTGTGAGTTCTGGACTTTTTTTTTGTTGTTGCTTAATTAAGTCGTAATGTATAATAGACGCTGCCTACCTGGTTGGCTGTGAGGTGACGCAGGAACGCGGGCATTGAAAAAGAAGCTGAAAAAGAAATTGTGGCGTGTAAAAAATGTTAAATGGATTCTAGATTGTTCTGAAGGTGACTCTCTAGAGAGGGAGTCTGGAAGAGCCATTAAGACTCATCTTACTCCAACCTCCTGAACATTTCCTGAATAACGTTCCTTCCTCTTTCTGAACTAACTCTGGGTTGAAAATATGTGGGGAGCAATTCTGGCTTTTACATGTGCATTTGTGTTGCTCACGTTTAGGGCTTTTAGTATTTCAGGAGCCCAAGAGGCAGTAACTAAATAGTCCGGCTTGAAAAGGAGACCATTTTTGGACAAAATTTGTTCAAACAATCAGGGTTTTTTCCAGTATTTCTCAAAATATGTACACTATTTGTTTATGCATTTACACATCTCCTATTGACAGATAAATGCATTTTAAGAGCCAGTTTTCCAGACAGAAATTAATCCTACTCTTGACCATATAGGATTTGGTGATTTTACTATTTAAAATAAATTAATCCTCGTCCAGGAAAGCAGCCCTAAATTTTTTACTTTAAAAACTTTTACTAATTTTCTTGATGTTCAGTGTGTTGCATAGAGTTGTAATTATGTAGGCTAGAAACACAAGTTTCCATTGCTCCTTTAATGTGCGGTATGTTTGGTCTTGGATAAGCTCCAGTTGCAGCTTTCTCATATGTGGCTTCCACACATCAGAAAGCCTTGTAATTACTAGTCCTGTTGAGGTATTTCAGGAAATGCTGGCTCTGGCTCTGCGTGGCATTGGTGACATCCATGTCACCTGAGCATGTTGCAGAGACAGCAGGGTTGTTAGCTCAGGCCAAAGCCTGACTGCAGCTCATGGGCTTGTGGTTAGGCTCTGCACCAGCAGGTTATCTGACCCCCTCCATTTGAACCGTAACTCTTTACGATCACTGAGAGCATGGGAGCTGAATCAAAGAGGGGCCGCAAGTGCTAATTCTTGGCATGAAGAACATGTATCGTGGGAGGGTGACTTTCATAGAAACCATCTTTCCAGGACACTTGCATAGAGGACTTTTTGGATTGTGATGGTTATTTGGATCAAGATGGATTTATTTATTTAAAAAAATGTTAGTTCATTTGCACTAATTCAGCATCTCTTCACTTATAGAATTTATCAGATAAAAATGTTGCCTATTATACAACTAAGTGCTGTGCATTTGGCATGAATACTTAATTTTAGCTTTATAAATCTGAATGTTCTGAATTTTTTAAATTGATTATCTAGTCAAACATAGCATCTGATGAAGATGATTTCAATGTGTATGCTAAAAAGATGTGCATATATATTTTAATAACCTCAACAGCATTGCCAGGGTGGCTTTTTTCTTTGCTGAAGAATTGAGGTCCACCTGTTTTTATCATTTTGAAAGAATTTAGACTTGCATAAATCCTGAGAAATAGCCCCTGTGGGTTTGCGAGTGTATGTGTGCATGTGCGACTTCTTATAGAAAGTATGCTAAAAAAATGTTTGCATGATAAGATGACAAATACAAAAGTTTACAAATTAAATTTATATTTGTATGCCTACAGCGAAGCTCATTGTGGAGACAGACACATTTGGCAGCCGAGTCCGAATTAAAGGAGCTGAGACAGGACTCTACATCTGCATGAATAGAAGAGGAAAGCTGATTGGCAAGGTAAGCAGAAAACACATACTAAAGAAAAACCTGTCACAGCTCCAGTTGTGACACAGATTGATATTCGGCAATGTTGGGATTGAGCGGATGCATTGTTCGGATTGGTTGTAATGGTGGGCTGAAAAGAAGCATCAAATAAATTTTGTATTTAGAGAACGAACATTACTCTGTCGCATGGAGTGCACGTCTCCCACCGTTCATGCTATGAAGTATTATGATAGTAAAAACACAACATCCGGTGGAGAGAAAGTTGTAAGCAAATAAAAAGCTTCCTCGGACACATTCTCCTTTTGTCTGGTAAATGCTTACAGTTTGCTCCAAGGCCTTTCCTGGGTTGCAGTATGGGATATGGAGTGTAAGGAATAGGATCTTTCCTCCTTTTTTTAGCCGGGCACTCTTGTTCCAGGGTGGATTTGTGCCTCTTTCTTGCTGTGAATGGTAATAAAGTGGGATGGAGACTCGGCCCCCACCTCCCAGCACCCTGCCAGGTGGACCATCTGCTTGGCACCCCTGATCTTATGCTATCTGACATATTGGCCGCCCAACGACAGCCTGCATGAGAGAGTTTTTTTGTTTGTTGTTGTTTTTTTATTGGTGGATATAAGAGGAAATGTTTTTGGTGATGGATGTGAGGTTTATTTTTAATGGCCCTTTTTGTTTAGAGGTTGGAGATAGGTTTGCACGCCCGGTTTAAGGTATTGACGTGTTGCAGATTTGGCAGGCTGAACTCAGGAGGCTCTGTTGGTATGGCACAGAGCTGATGCACTTCCTGAGAGGAGTGGATCTGTAGAACATAATGACTGACTATGTCCGTTAATGTTATGTCAGTTAATATTCAGAGCATACAGTGAGAACCCCTATAGAAGTTACTGATAATCAGTATTGGATTGATTGAGAACTAAATACTGTATTTTTCCTTGGTAAGTTCTTTAAGAAGAAAATAACTGATCAGGACCAATAATGTTATGTCAGTGATTTTCTATTCAGACCATACAGTGAGAAGACGATGACTGGCCTAGTATTTTTCTTAGACATGTCTTGATAAATGCAATGTTATGATCATAGTCAGGTTTCTATAGCCAACAAGAATGTAAAATTAAAGCATCTATGAAAATATTTTCCTCTCTAATACAAAGCTTTAAACTATTGACCTGTGAGCAGCCCAAGGTGGAAGAAACCATTTATCTCAGAGGATGAATCTGCATTGGTGTTTACCGAAGGGGGAAAGTCATTGGTTACCGCTGTCATTTCTCTCTCTCTTGATCTTGAACTATAATGACTTAAGCATATGCCGTGTGCGTGTGGGGAAGCCTCACTTCTACACTGGGGCAGACTTTCTGCAAATACCTTTCGATAGATTTTCAGATCTCCCATTAATAATTTATCGTGTTACCTTTTTTTTGGACTTAAAAAACAACTCGGTTTCTGAATCTTCTGTTTTTCTTTCTTCTTCGCAGAGCAACGGTCAGGGGAAAGACTGCATTTTTACGGAGATCGTGCTAGAGAACAACTACACGGCTCTCCAGAATGTAAAGTACGAGGGCTGGTACATGGCGTTCACACGCAAAGGAAGACCCCGCAAGGGCTCCAAAACCAGGCAACACCAGCGGGAAGTCCACTTCATGAAGCGGCTGCCCAAAGGACACCACATTGCAGAGCACAGACCCTTTGATTTCATCAATTACCCTTTCAACAGACGGACTAAACGCACCCGTTACTCAGGAGAGCGCTGAAGAGTGAAGCAGGAGAGAAGAGGGAGACAGCGAGGGAGAGAAAAATACCATCTCAGATAATGAACAGAATCTCCTCTTATGGACTCCTAAAACAGTTTTTGTACTGAGCATTAATATACCTAACAATTAGTTTGTTTTTTAATGATTTTTTAGAAAGAAAAAAAAACACTCTGCAAAAGAAAAAAAAAACAAGGAAAAAGAGATCTATTTTTGTACTCCAGACTTTTAGTACTGACCTGTGTAAAATTTTAGGAAAGCGAAGCACATGACTTGAGATACATGTCAGATGGCAGAGCTGACATATTAGTAGTGTGTGGACTTCACCATCTCTCTTTTTGGTTTTGTTTTGTTGTATTTTGACAGTTTTAGAGTAATTTATACTCTTCATATTGCTGCTCATGGGGACTTGAAGGGCCTGAGAGAATGCACTGACAAAAGAAGGCTGTATTCGGTTACACATACAGCCAAGGCACCTCTCGACCACCCAGTGATAAGACACCCAGCTCATCTGAGTAACCTCTCTTGGTTCTTGGTTCTGAAACGTTCTTGAGATAAACACAGTTAAAGCAAACACAGCTTTAAATCCGTACAGAATTTGTGGCAGCTACATTTTGATAATCACATGTTTCCTACCGTGGTTTCAGCTGTAAATTCAAGGTGTATAAATGCATTGTAAGAAACGTAGGAAAGCCTTTTTTGTTCTTTGTTGCATTTTGTCTGTCTGTTTTTTATACATATATAAATATATTTTTTATTTGAGGATGTGTAAAATAATTTTAATGATGGAAATATTTATTTAAAAATGTGTAATAAATTTACCTTAGAATACTGGTACATAGTTCTTCGTTCTTCTCATCTTATGCTCTTCGTTTGACTTTCATGCCATCCTGTCACGGCAGCTTTATTTGGGGGGGGAGTCTAAATAGCTTCCCTTAACTGCACATGCCTGTATCAAATTAACATGCAAGTTAAAAATGAGGTGCTAACATTATTCTGCACAATATGTCCCAATACACTGTTTTAAACAGCCAAACAGAATGCTTTAGATTGCTTCTACCAAATATAAAAATCAAATTGCAAAGAGGTGCTCAGCTTCAGGAAACTGCACTCTTAAAGGGCCCATGTCCTGCACTTTTTTGTATATTGTCCTTTTTTCATTTATGAGGTTTGTGTAGGTTCTTGTATCAAAAACAAACATAATTGTTTTTTTTACAAGAACATCCAACCTCTCTTGCTTAGAATTAAATAGCTTATTTTTGTTACTGTGCCTTTAAGACTGTGCCTCATTCAAAAAAACAGTCCATGCTAAAACACCCCTTATAACTTTAGTGTGAATGGGCGGGGCTAAACTGCTGTAAACAGAGTAGGTGAATACAGGTTAATGTGGGATTAATGACATCACAAAAACAGTTCATTCTAAATGGGCTGTTTTTGTGACTTAGTTTCCAGGAATTGACTGTACGGAAGTGAGCATGTCCACATACAACATCTTTTAAAGGGGGGGGGGTCAGTTTACCATGATATAGGTGTTCAAAAATAAATGTTTCTAAATGATTCTTGGCTTAGACTGTGTGGTTCTAGGAAAAACTTTAAATGTGGAGGTTCTTTACATTTGTCTATAGCGTTTACAAAAGACCTTCTTTAACTTCTTAATAAAAAGGCTTACTATTCTATAACTACATGGCCTACAATGCAAACAGGCTTTTTAAGTTATAGAAGTATGTAATAAGTTTACACCTAATAAAAGTTTAATAAAAGTTTGGAAATGGCACGTCTTAGCCATATAGGGGGTAAAAAGCATAAAGTGAATGTTTTTTTAGAGAACCAAACATGGTTTATCTATGTCATTGTTCCAGACAACACTTTTGCCTACAAAGAGTGTAGTCTCGTATTGAACAGCTTACCATTATGTAATGACGTCATAATAAATACCACGATTGTTTGTGTAACCCTTCTGGTTAGTGGCCGGTGGAGCCAGAGATGAAGGTAGCATGTAAAGGCATCTCCCCCGGTCTGTTTGGAGTGGCTCAGCACAGGTCAACAGCTCAGTGGGGCAGTCTCTACAGGGGTCCAGCGCTGTTTGGCCTCTCTTTTGGTTGAACTGGACACGCTGCAGCTCCTCAGCCCTGGCTCCTCGCCATCAGACAGGTGTTTTTCTTTAATCTTAGACCTTTAACACCCTGTAGCTTAATCTGATTGAAAGAGTCTGTTTTGTTCGTGGATGGCGGTGTGTGTTTGCGGACAGGGTCCTAAGAAGCCAAAAGCCAAGATCAGGGAACAGAAGACACTAAGCAAATAAGAATTAGGATGGAGGTCGAGTGCCGCACAGAAGAGCTGAAGATCCTTAATGGATCCTCTGTGCCTGGCACAAAAATTAATGCAAAGGAATCGCTCTGTTTAATAAAATGATCCATGAAATATAGACATAATGAGATGATGTAACACATATAAATTATGGTTAGCACTAAATGCATTAACAGTTTGGCCCTCTAGTGACAGTGAACCATTATCACATTAAGTTTGTAATATATAACTGCAATAGATAGATATTATGATTTCACTCAAATTACTCATTTCTTATGTTGAAAAAATGCATTTCGGTGTCTAGTATGTGTATTTTTGCAGGTATGTTAGTAAAACCTGACAGTTTTTATGGTGCAGTCCACCATGTGGTCAGCCTCATGTTATGCTAGTAGCTGACCTGGGGTGCAGGGGTCAAACCTGTGGAAAGGCCAGTAGCTCAGCAGGGCTCTCTGCAGCACAGCATTTCTAAGCCTTTGTACAGGAACTTACGTATTCTAGCCACACTCAACTCTACTTGAGCCCATTGGTAGAAACTTACACTGACCTCTAGAATAACCAAATCCTCAGGATAGTACTTTATAAGGAGTGCATTCACTGATCATTTAGGAAATGAAGCAGAGAATACATTAAATATCATTATATAATGCATACATTATTATTGTACACATAAAGGTATACCTGGTATGGGTGTATGTATATATACTTGACTGTAGTCCCAGAGTACTGCTGAGGATGTTTTGATGAATTATGATACTGAAAGGTCAAAATAATGCAGTCTTTAACATTTTTTGAATCAGCAGTGTTTTTTTAAAAGTATTCCATATTAAAATAATGTTTATAAATTTTAGGGGAAATGGAATCGTGAAAAAAGTAGCAGTATAATCACAGTAGAAGTATTTTGTTCACACTGTGCATCCAAATACAGAGCAGACAGTCGATATGGGGAAAGAGAGTTATTTTTTTAGTTAAATGTCTTCAAATATACATTATTTGTAACATTCCACCTCAACATTTTGAAATAAGCATTATATAGGTTTATTTTTATCTTCTTTCTTGTTTAACAATACACAGGATTTCCTCCATAAGAACTAAGACTCCCTGTAGCTTTCACATTTAAGGTGACCACTACTGATTAACAGGGCTTGATGATTTGCCACGGTCATCCTGTATTATCTGGCTGTGGTTTCCCGTTAAATTTGTCTCAGTAACCATAAAATTGTAGAAACCAGAGGGATCCAGCAGGTTGTGGGAAAAATCACACCTTCTGTGTAGCTTGTGATGCCATGCAAATGAGGCGCAATTCCACTGAAAAAGAGGGGACGCAAAACTGCTTTCATCCATTTTATTGAGCTGCAACCGTCATCCTTAACCCCAGATAAACAAACAGAGCTACCTTCTTAATTTGCTTAGGGAGCAATTTAGACCAGTACAAGGCCCCCTGCTGAACCTGTAGAATGCCAGAGTGAGAGAATGGGATGACCCAGACCTCTAAGCAGTCTCTTCACATTCTGCTTTACTCTATCCATAAAATCATTCCTGCAAACAGGAGCTCAATTGAGGAAATGTGCTTGGGAAATTATATAAATAAACCCTTTTAAGAGTCTGCATAAAGTCAGGCCTGTTCACTGAGCAAGTAAATGTTTTTAAGATAAAACAAACTTTTAGTAAGCATACATTATAAGCTTTAAAAATCCAGAAAAGATCGTTAAACTGGCAAAAATGAGAAATCTAGAACTCAAAACATGTTTGTCCAAGATTAAGAATACAAGGCATTTAAAAACAGTTATCAATTTATTTTGTATTTCAAACAAACCAACACATTGTCCACATAAATAAGCAAGATTGTATGTTCGCATTCAGAACTAGCAAGCAGCCAAACTGAAAGACATAATTGAAATACAAACACTGATTAAAGAGGAGATGAGTCCCGACAGTTTAATTGTTTATAAATGGAACTTATGGAAGACCTGTTGACTTTTCCAATTGGATCGGTAATCTTTGTTTGCTCATGCATTTCTAAGACTGATTGTCAGAATGTTCTGAACAATTACAGGCTAAATGTGTTTGCCAGCCACACAGAGCACCCTGCACCCCTCTAAAGAGATCAAAAGGGGAGTCCCCCCTCCTTCTTCATTTCCTTTCAGTCATGTCAATTCAGCTGGAAAGTCAACCATAAATGATTTTTTTAGAAGCCTGAGTATTGGGGACATGGCCATTCACAGTGTCTGAATTTCAACAGCTGACTTATTGGGTGGATGCATATTTCATTTAAATGTTGTGTATCTGATCAAAGCTTCAAATGTTCTGTCTGCAATGACAGTGTATTGACTGGGGACCATTAACACATCTTTGATATGTAAAAGGTTCATGATATGTAATAATAAAGGCTGCATCTTCATCACTATTTTCAAAAATGACCCACATCATAGAAGACTTTAATGAATTAAAAGAAAAACTGCTTATTAAAACAAGCTCTGATATTTACAGTACAAATTCAATTTAACCAAGAACTTATAGCACAATACACATCTCTGAGACTTAGAATGGTCATTTAGCATATTGGCACTGCTGGAAAAAAACTTGTATCTCCAAAATGGTAACTTTTATAAAATTTTTAACTTTGAGTGCATGTTAACGTAACAAAATCTTTTCCTAGCAATTTTGTGCCATTTCTACCAATTCATTCAGCAAGAAAATGTCACACAATATAAATGGCGAGCGTTTTCAAATGAACTTAGAAAAATGTAGTTGTTAAGTTTGCATTGACACTGATGATATGTTACCAGATGTGTTCGTGAGAAAGGTCCTTGGAAAAAGTCTACGTCAGATTCATGACACTTTCTTAAAACACAGAACTGTTCTCACCTTTGTGCTCTTGGGTGTGTATAGATTCTGTTCTTACCTAAGAACAAATCCCAAATAATAAAACATTATCTTTCTATCATTTTCATCTTCATGAAAACTGCAAAAGTGGGTTTTAAGAAGAAATTTCTTCTTAAGAATGATTGGTGAATGAGGCCCAATATCTTTTAAACAAATTTCTTGAAAGCAAAACAACAAATAATAAAAAAAAAATAATAATACATTTTGTCTTCTAAACTAAAACAGCACAAACTAAATTTAATCTAACTTTAACCTTAAAGACAGGAAAGAAATTGTTTTCATTAACTAGTTAGGAGAGAGAATGTCAGAGTCTGTAGCATGCTGAACTACTTGGTCTTCGCATTGAATAGGTTGAGGTCAAGCTACCACTTCTTTCCTAACAAAAGCAGCTATCAAGTAGATGCATTTCTGACAATCACACACCATAACCTAAGATCAAATAGGCCCACTGTGGGACTAATTTAAAAACGTGTCATACAATGACAAGCGCTGAATGCTTACATAAGATGGAATCCCCAGTCAAAAAAGCTTGCCATACAAAAAGAAGAAGCTGAAGAAGAAACACATCAATGCCACTGGTGGAGCCAAAGTGAGGGGTGGACACGGAGAGGATTTGGAAAAAAGCTAAAATGAAGAAAAGAACAAAATTGCATTCCACAAGCAACTGAGCATGTCTTCAGAGAAATCAAGTCTATAGAAAGAGAGACAAGAGCAGAGAAGGAGTAAAAAGACAAGAAGAAGCCTTGGCTACAGCCACTTTTACTGCAGAAATACTAGCTTGTATACTTTTCAATGATCAGATAATGACACTGGAAAAGCACTGAAACAGGCACTGGTTTCAGTAATTATAATGATGAACTCAGGTGGTGTTGTGCAAGGCTGGAACCAGTGCACACATGGCAGCACAGTTTGAAGACCAGAGGCCTATTCGCTGCTTTCTGAATAGACTTCCATGCAAATTCATCACTACCATCTATCAAATTTGTATGCACACCATGCATCATTGTTTGGGGCAGAAAATTAAGAGATGTGAAATGAGATGTAAACCAGTTCCTGGAGAAACAGTGGCCAGTTTAAAATCAGCTTAGAATAAACCAATTACATTGGTGTTGTCACATGCACACAAACTCTGTGCTTAAAACAAACTCTGTGCTAACTTGTTGGAACTATCTTTTGTGAGTTGGTTTAAGTGTATTTCACCAAGTCAATCAATTATGTTGCTTGTGTACAGTGTCCACTGTAGAGGACTGCACAACTTCTTGTGGGTCTTATAGGTCTGACTCGCATGTTGTTGTCTTGTCTTATTAATTGTGACTCTGGATGGTTTTTGTCTGCGATTTAGGTACTAGAAAAAAATTACAAATAACAATTATTATTATTATTATTATATTATTATTGAGTGTTCTAGAATGCTTATGTTATATACTATTAATTTTGAGACTGAGTACAGATGGTGTGGATTGCTTTTGTGTATATATACAGTTCGTATGAGCCAGGTAATTCAACAGCCTACGTTTTATGTGTTTGCAATCCAGTCATTTTTACTTCTTGCACATTTTCAGTTGTGTGAACATCTTCCGGACATCAGCATAATCTGCTTCGCATTATCAAGCTAACCTTCACTCGACCTCCTGGCTGTAATAGGAATTAACAAGATTGATATTTGTCTGTAGCCATGAAAACTGTCACCATATTATTTTCCCTTACAGTAATGCAGATAAGCCGAGAAAAGTCAAAATCCCACAGCCTACAATCCCCCAGTAAGGTCGATGTGATTTTCTGTTTACTTTTCCTACAACACAACTCACGTGACTTGCTTTCACGAGGAATGGCTCCCACCACTGACTGTGTTTACACGCTCTGAAAAAATGGGATTCTGTATACATTTGCCTATAACCGATCAATTATTCAGCTTTAAAGACGTTAATTTACGTCGACGCAAATACACTGTAATAGTTAACGGTGAGCAGGCACCGAGTCTGAGAAGGAGCCGCAATGTTTCTGTTTCAGTTACCCGACGATGTTCTGTACCTCATCTTGTCGTACTTGGACTACAAATCGCTGTGTCGCCTCTCTCAAGTTTGCAAGAGAAGCCACCACTTTACCGTCCGCGATGCTGTTTGGAGGAGGATAGCAAAAGACTTTATCAACACCGGCATGACAAGACAAGGACCAGACCTGTAAGAATCTATATTAAAGAGACGAATAGCTAGCCAGCTAGTTGGCTAACGTGGGCCTCCAGCATGAATCGCGTAGCTAGGCTACGTAAGTGCCGTAGAGAGTGCTGGTCAACATACGAGATTCCGCAAGAAACAGCGTAGCTTGTAATTCAGTAAGATGTGGTCGTACAGTCTTGTTTATGCTTTAGCCCGTATCGACCTGTTTAATAAAACGGCTGAAATCCTTAATAACTGACATAAATAAATTAAATTAGTAGTGTCTTATAGTAACTTGTCAATAGCATATAGCTCGGTTCTAAAGCTTGTCGGGTAGTAAAGTAACATAGCTTTGCTCACTCTAACGTTACCTAGCAAAGCTAGCTTAGCTAAGCTAACGTTACCTGGGCACTTTAGTTAGAGAGCAGCTAACGTGACATATTTTACGTTTAGCTTAGGTAGTTATAACTGTGCTTCAAAATAATTTGAGGGAAACATTCCGGCAGGCATTAGAAGAAAGTGTTTCTTTTTAGTTTAGGCTTCCAGGAAGTCTTTCTTCATGGTTGTTTGATTGCTTAAGTTAATTGTGAAGTGGTGTCACTTTGATAAGCTCATGCTCTTCTTATAGTTTATATGTCAACAAGCAGCAAAGCACAGTACCATACACACTCGAATAGTTTAGCATGAATCCCAAATAAGTGACAGGTGTGTAGTATGACTTTTGAAAGCGACTCTCTTTGTTCTGGGATCCTGAAATAATGTCCCTCATGTTTATGCTCATAGGAAATCCTTTTAGACACGCTTAGACAAGTAACTGTACTGGCAGTACCCTTCTATATTACAAAGAGAAAACTATATCTAAAGTATTATCCTTGTTAATATAACCAACTTTCTTTGCTCATCTGTCACAACCCGAAATGTTTCCTACAATTGCCTACTGACTTTCAGTTCTGTTAGGCCTTCTGAATGATTGATGGAACGTTTTCATGACTTTTCTGGGAGTAGCTCTAAATTTACTGAGGTGGTTGACGGGATGCTCCATTTTTTATATGAATATAGTTCTGTCATATGTTATTAGTAATATTTACATTATAAAATGGTAAACTTTTAAACACAACTGGATTTTAAGTAGGTGGCAAATACAGTTCATTTTGTTCCAGATTCTGTTTGAAACATGATCTTTGTGCGCTGGTGTGAATGTAATAGTCTTCAGATTACTGTAATTTTGAGAGAGATTGTCATAAATCATTTAAAGAAACTATAGGTCCTAATGTCCCCATTTTAAATAATTATGATGGATTATATTTTGATGGATTTAGTCAAAATGTTTGCGACATTGCTCTTTAACATATTTAAGTTAATCAGTTTTTGTTTTAAGTTTTCTTTGAAACATTTAGTAGCTTTTAAGTGATTGCTTGTGTCTTTTTCCCATGTGCAACAAACTGGTGCACCAGTTAGTTGCACATGGGTTTATATTGAGTGTAGCCCCAGTTGAGAATCGCCTGCCCCTACACATCACGCTAAAATAACTGTCTGTTATTTATTATTTTGCATGTCAGTCAGATAGCCCTTTCCTGGCAAAGTAGGCTGACTCTCTGACGATAGGCAGAAATCTTGCTTGCAAGACTGTGTCACCACATATTGTGATTGCAATTCACCTTGCACTATATTGGTCATTAGAGATGGACCGATTGCCTTTCAGTACGATCAGGCGATAGCTGATACCGATCGAAGACGGGGCTGAATGCCACATTCAAAGGTTCAGTGACTTGGGCGAACGACTGTTGATATTTGAACTCAAGAGCAAAACAAGTACTCCCTTCAGTGCTCCTTCAGAAGCTCCAAGTCCCATTTTTCATGGAAGTGCATTGCTAAGGCAAACGACACTTTTTTTAGATCTTCATGTCCATAAAACCCTTCGCAAACATTGTACAGACAAAAAAGTAGTTAGCAAACCATTGCTACTGCAAAGCTAAGCAGTCGGGGTTAGCTATCACAAACATTAGCAAACATTAGACAAAACAGTACTGACCTATTGGTTCTGTGAAACATAAAAAAATAAGTTAAAGTTACCTTCCTGTCATGCAGAAACAGAGCAACCTCCTCATCCCTTATGCCTTTCAACTCTCGATGAAGCTTAAGTCAGCTTCTGTGTTGCTTTCTTTCGCCAGCTTCTTGTTTGAATTTTTCCTTTCCACTTTGAATGGTGCAGCAGTTACATTCTGCTAGGCTAACATAGCCTTTAAAACAACCAGCACAGCTAACAGGACAAAACAGTCCTCCTGCTTTACGAATGGATTTTTAAATATTCTATAAAAAGGGCTGACATACAATCGCTTTTTCCATCTTATTTCTATTTTCAGCCCCTGCCAAAGCTGTAGGTCATGAAGCTAGTTAGTAAACTAAGATTAGCGCTCAGATGCAAATCCTTAGCAGAAATGAATCCTCAAAGCTTTGACAAAAGCCGTGTTAATTACAGCTCTGCACGTTCGCACAGCGAGTTTACAGCGAAGTAGGAGCCAAATATGTAACATACTTCAAAAAGATGTTTTTCATTAGTGAAATAGATATGATGAGGCTGAAGTTGGCTTTCTATTCGCCAGCTTCTTGTTCGACCGTTCCACCTTAAATGGTGCTGCAGTTACATTCTGATGCCTCAGATGAAATATGGCTTTGTACGTCACTTGAGCTCTCAGGATCGGCTAAGTTGAGGATATATCGGCTGATTGCGTTTACTTTATTTATTTATTTATTTGACATTTTTAAAAAATGTCCTGTAGATTAACCAAAAAAAATGAGACAAAAATAAATATATTTTGGTATGCAAATTGTGGGGAAAAACTATGCATGGAAGTGAACTAACATTCATTAAACACAAGACAAGGAAGTTTAATTATGTCAAGGTTTGAAATAATTAGATAAAATCTAACCAAATTATGTATGAAAAGTTCACATATATTTATATTTTGCTGTACATTTCATAATACATTCAGAATGAGTGAGCATATTTTTCTTCTGTCTCTGATAATCTCTGAACCAAATCCTATCATTAAAAAATATGTCACAACACAGGACAACTATTTGATTTACTTGATTTGAACTGTTTGTTAAATCTACAAAAAATAAGAAAATGAGTGGGAGCAATTTCAAGTTTAGATTTAAAGAAAAATTCTTTTGTTTTGCTTTGTTTTGTTTTTTTTTCTCTTTGGATTTGGGCTTACATCAACTACCCTCTAACAAAGAGTCTGGTTAAAAGTATTTTTTTTTCTGTAGTCAAAAAGGTCTTCTAGTATTGTTCTTGTCTTATTTCTGTTGACATCATGACACTTTTGTGCATCTGTTTTCCCCTTCTTAAAATGGAAAGACATTCCTAAAATGCAGCTTTTATTAGTGTTACTGCCCTGCAAATAAACATTAAAAATCTTTCACCTTTCAGGTATCCTACTATTCTCTTGAAGGACAGAGTGAAGATATCCCAGAATTGGAGTCGTGGTGTCTGCCGTAAAGATGTCCTTCTGAAATGGAAGATCAAGTGAGTTCATTAGGTATAAGCCTAATGGAGCTAACAAGTGATTACTGCACATTTGCCTCAAACCATGTTGAGATGATGAATAATAAACAGATATTATTACGTGGTTTCTGGTGCAGTGTGTGATCATTTAAGCATACAGTTTGCACAGTGCTAACTGATGCAGGATTAGCTTCTATTGTTTGTTAGCTACATTAGCCTCATAGCTTCAGTGAAAATCTAAGGAAGCATGTTTTTCACTGCTTTTGGGAAAATAGTGTAAATTTGACTTTTCACTGAAGTATTCCTTTAAGTCATTTCCCACAGTTAAAGGGGAAACCGAAAGGCATGGGTATGGAATGTGTTGTGTTTTTATTGTCCATCCCCATGATGAAATATTTTCTCAAACACTGAAAAAAGGATTCTGATTCGGGTGTGTTATTGACCTTACCAGCATGGATAAGAAATCCTTCTGTTTTTTATTAGCCACTACATCACCTAAGTCCTTAGAAACCAGATTGAGCTACATGTGTAGGAGTAATTTCCATTCCTTGATTTTTCCCCACAGCTTGTTGCCGTGGATACAGCTGGACGATGATGTGCTGTATCTGTCTCAGGCAGCAGACATTGGAGCGTACCATCTCAGGGGGCCTGAGGGGGGGAGGTTCCAGCATAATAGATTGACTGTGTTTTCAGGACACCAAGAGGATGTGTGTAGATTCACTTTGACAGACACACATCTTGTCAGTGCTGGAGGGTAATTCGCTGGTTTTTGTATTTTTTTTGTTTCTTTTGTTTTGGTCATTAATTTTAGGGTCACTAGGTACAATGTTGCAACTGCTTCTTTGATTAAAAAGTTTTACTAGTTTTCAGTTACAAATTAGGTAGACTATTTTTCTCTATTTTTGAATTATATAGTATCATGCTGAGTTGCCACAATTGTACCTCTTTAACTCATAGTAATCTTCCCATACATTAACAACAACATTTCAGTGGATTATCAAAAATTTTTTTACTTGGCTGCAACACCTTGATCTCCATGTTCTTAATATTTAAGCTTATTAATCACTAACTACTATGAATTATTCTGTGTCTACTGTGAAATTAGTATGCAAGTTATGTACATATGAGAGTAAGGAATGGAGGTCTGGAACCTTACTTGGCTCCTTGGAGTAATAAAAGTCAATTATACATTTCATTTGTCTAGTCAGCTTGATTATTGTTCATTTTTTTGATAGGCCACTGCTGTGTACACTTCATACATTTTTGTCTTTTCACAGTGATGGGAAGATCATTATCCATGACAGAAAAAGTGATTATTCTGTGGAGTATTATGGCCATAATCAGGAGGTGAACTGTATTGACTGCAAAGGTGAATTGATCATCAGTGGGTCAAGAGACAGGACTGCTAAGGTAGGGTTTAATTCCCCCCATCTACAAATTTCAAGTATACTTTGCAGTGCAACCCAGGACAACATGACACAGGATAAGATATTATAATGGGAAATATCTTGGCACGTCTTCACAAAATTTGGAGCTATACCTTTTGATAATAATGACAGGGAGTGTAGTGTGTATTACTGAGTTCACTAAACTTTGCCCTCTGTACTCATACACATACCTGCACACACAATACCTTAGAGGACATTGCTTTCATCATGTAGTTTATGAAATGGGACTAGACCTCACCACTTCTTCCTGTAAAGCTCAGTTCAAAGGAAGTAATATTTTACATTAACTTCAACCACTTAGTAAATTCAGTTTTTATCCAGCTCTTCGAATTGCAGAGAATAATCCTGAATCTGGAGACTTTAAGAAAACAAGTTTTACGACTAGCGTTGACTTGTAGCATTATAAGATTCTCTATAAAGTTCTTATACTGGAATTCCACTGATATTTCAAAATTGGCGTAGGTCAGTTGATTAGATGTGAACAAAGTCATGTGGAGTGGTTTGATATGAAATGTTCCATTCTAGAGAACAACTCAGATTTCTTTACAGTGGTGGTGATAGGAATCAAAACCACCAGGGAGCCTACATGCGTCTTGAGAGGTTTTACATGTAATGATGATGATGGTAAAATAACATTAAATCTAACGGTACTATTTAGCCTTGCTGTGTCCTGCTTGTACCCCTCTGCCACAAATGTATCTAAAAAATATATTTTAGGCCTTGTCTCAACACTTTTGTAAAACAATGTCTCATTCATCAGGCAGCATAGTCATCACCATTTCACGTTTTTGAAGACAGATGTTTGATTCCTATTTCTGATTTCCTAATTCTGTAAGTTTGTCTAGAACTGAGCATTTCACATCAAACTACTTTGAATAAGAGAGGAGCATACATGGTAAAAGTTGTCTTAACCTTGGAACATGCAGTATGATGGATTACCATACTGCCTGTCTGCCAGAATAAACTGATATTGTTTCAGCATTTAAATGTTTTGGTTTTAAGCAATGTGTGACTGTAACTTTTTCATCAATTTATCTTTAGATATGGGCATTAACTCCAAACCAGCTTGGCAAGTGTCTTCATACAGTCCCAACCTATGATCGAGTATGGTCTGTGGCCATCAGCCCCTCTCTATGGTGAGCAAATGTTCCATTTGAACTTTTCTGCTGGAATGTATTATTGTCTGCACTCTTTCAGTAAGTGTTATTTGTCATTAAGAGTCTGAGCAGTGCTTAGAAATCTACCACAAACCGTTAAGAGGTGTAAAACATAAAACTACATTGTGTGTTTAAGATGCGAAGACCACAACTTTTGGCACATTTAACACCTTAGAAGTGTTTGAAAGTTTTAATATACCTGTATAATCATATCAGCATTTATTATAAAGTTACAAAGAGTTTACTTTGGAGGTAATTTACTTGCGACCGTGACACTTATCCCTTCTTATTTGTGACCCATGGTGTTTAGTGCTTCATCCTTGTTGGTTTTCTTAATGCTTCTGTCAATATGAATCATCATGAGACCCCCAACATCCACCTACGGCTTTCATCATGGTGAATTTGAGATTGTCCAAATAAAGAATGTATCGGATGGTTTGGAAAGGGGGGTGGAGGGCATCATTATGGATAGAGGGGTGAAATGGTCAGAGACAGGGTGCATCAAAGCAGGTGGCCAGACCCTTTTTTTATATGTACTCCTCAATTTATTGCCATGCCATTGCTTTGAAGTCAGTTAGCTAACACCTCTGAAATGCAGATGGAGAGGGATGGGATCCTGGCTCTAAATGGTTAGAAAGCAGAATTGTGCCCCCTCATGGTCTAGCATGTAGATTTTTTTTTTTTTGCCAAATTTGTTTTTGTTCACATTGATTGAGTGTTTACTTTGCAATATATTTATTAAGATTAATCATAGACAATAATGGTCCAGTGAGTCCAGATGGTCCAGATCATTTTACTATGGCTTTGACTGTATCTGATATTAAGAAGGAACACTAAAGGAAATGCAGATATATTAGAAGAATATTTAGGCTTAGAGAAGTCAAACTGTCTTAGTTCATCACCCTGCTCGAACAAAGCTTGAGCAAAGCCGTTTTCTCCTAATGTGACTAGCTGGTTAAAAAAGTAGCGTATAAAGTGAGACAAAAGGCAGTGAAGGAGACGAAAGGGGAAAAACTGTGGCAGGATATAATGTCGGTGCAGGGTCGCCTTCACCGCTGCTGCCTTTGATTGCTCAGCCATGTATACACCCACACACTTAATGACACACAGCCGCATGAAGCTGTAACACTAGCACTGAGCCTCCACCTGCCTCTGCGTGTCAGGCAGCTGATCTGTCAAGCGCACCTTCGTAGCGCTGCTGAACGAATGGAAACATCGTGCACGGGAAACAACGAAAGGGCGCTGCTAGGCTTTTCCTCTTCTTAACCCATCTTTTGTTATAACACAGGCTGTGTGTAGCTGAAGAAAGCCACCTGAACAAATGCAATGGTTCAGTGCTGTTTTAGCCGCTCAGCTGAATTATTAAACCCCGGTGCCCTGCCTCCTCAACCACGAATTTAGATTTCTGAATAAGAGACGATTATCCACGTCATTAATTCTCCAATTTGATGGCTGAAATAGCAGGCCCCTGAAACAGACTGCTGCACCCAAATAATGGACCACACTCTTGCTAATATATTGACAATGGGCGAAGTTAATTAAAATAGCCAGAAATCAAGGTGTCAGTTAACTGGCAAGCTTCTTTGGTTTGAAATGTGTCTATTTGTGGTATGGTGGCAATGATGATGCAGGTAAAGACATGAAGTAGCATTTTGGAGTATTTCTGATTATTAGGTTGTGATTGTAATCACAATCAACTTTGTACTGTCGTTCTTGAGTGCGGTAGGTCAAATGAAACCTGGTAAAATCTGGTATTTGTTCTCTTAAATAATCTTGTAACTTCTGTATTTATACTGTAATATAAAAACAGTGCTGTCACAATTAATCAGTTACATGTGTTTATTTAAGTGATAGGGATGCAGCAATGTGGCAGTTGTATGTGGCCGATGATGTATGCAGTATTTTTTTATGTTACATTTCTACTGATACTAATATATAAACATATTTATAAAATGTAGAAATTGTACAAAATCTGCTTGAATTAACATTACAGGGAAATATGCCACTTATTTATTATTTCTAACTGTTTGGACTTACGAAAATAATCAGTAGATTATCTGGTTACTAATATAATCAATACTGACAGCCCTACGTTACAGTAAGGATCATCATAACCCCAGTAATCCATGCTTGATTCATTCCCATTGACAATAATTGTGTTCTACGAGTTAGAATTGAGAAGCTGAAATATCTTAAAGGTGGAGAATGGTAATGGGGGGTTACTAAATGGTGATTGCACAATGTGTGTTTTAATTTGGGAAACTGAGTGAGGAAGAGAAGGGAGCCCCTTGTGTTGCAAATGTAATTGTTCCAGCTTCACGCCTGAGGTATCTAAAGGACAGGGAGTGAGACAGGAGGCGCAGCAGTGAACGACAGGATCCAGAAGAAAAGGAGGGGGGGGGAAGAGGAGCAAGAGAAAGAGAAGAAGAGTGGGTGTGCTTCTGACACTGATGTGTTGGAGATTTTATTGCTTCTACCAAGAGCATGTAACAATAGTATAACAAAACTGTGGCTGGTTTTATAGTCATAACTCTGTTACACTGCTGTTATTCTGCTTTTCTCCATATCAGTGTATCTTATATCTTTCCCTTTTGCCTTTCTCTTATGTCTCTGTATTTACCCTTATCTGTTACCCTGTCTTTCTGTCCTTTTTGCACTCTCTCCCCTCCCACCCACTTGTTCTTGTCAATTTTTCCACTGAACATCATCTCAAGGTTCATTAGGGGGATATTGTGGCTGGAGGAAAATGCCAAGGTTGGTTCTTGGTTTGTCTTGTATCTCGTTGCGGTGAACGTGATGGATTCCACCAGCATTTCTGGTACTCCTTTTTCTGGAATTGCTTTTCACAGTTGATTTTTTTTTTCTTGCTAGGCAGGGTATGTCCCACTGTTATGCTTTTTCGTTTTCAATTATGTGCTCAGAATTTCACTCTGGTGTTTCAAAAGGTTTAGTCTTCTAAATCATAAGTGATGTAAGTAGCAGACAGGACTAGTCCCGTGCAGGCTGGAGGATATCTTCAGTGAATATAGCGTTCACAGCTGACTTTGCATTGTAAACACTACCTCTGGAACTCTCTAAATGGCATCATATGGCTAGCAGTCCCAGTTTTAACTGTGAGGCCAATCTAAAAGAGCTCTCTCTCCCATCGTGAAGGTAATGTCTGCTCTGGCTTCCTGCATTGTTCTCATTCCTCTTCAGGGTCCATTTGCTATCTCATATGAAAGAGACGGTGACCATGCAGAAGATAAAAGAACCAAAGTAAAAGCAGCTGGAATAATTTTTAATTTGTGATCTTGATCCTTTGGGCTTGACACCCCCCACCCAACCCGGTGTCCCTCCCGTCTGAGTCCAGTCTTTGTCTGTCATGTCAGGCCTCAGTCACTTTGCTCTCAATGTGGATTCATCTGCTGCTGTCTCAAAGGAAACTCTGATGGCTACTAATGGTCTCTGATTAGCATATGTTTTATTTTGGAGGCACTGTTTTAGAACCTGGAATGACTTGTCCAGTTAGTTGATGTGCTCCTCTTTGGAGAATGCAACTCTTTCAAGTCTTTCAGTGCTCTAATGGGAGCTTAAGCGTGTTGACATTTTAGATTTGAATCTGTTGTCTGCGTTTGGGTTTGTTTATTTATTTATTTGTGTATCTATTTATTTAGTTATGTGTTTATTAACTTGGATTATAAAGAATTATTCTTTTTTTCATTGAGATTATTCCTTTTTATTATTAGTTTTTAATTTTGTATTTGTTCAGCTGTCTTTGGTCGCTAGAAGTTTGTGTTCTGGACTTTGGGTTAAATATAACCATTGTGGTTACTATTTTGAAATTTCCTTTAAATTGAATTCTAAATTAAAGGTCCAATATCTTACATTATTTCTGTATTATATTTTTTCCCTAAGATTCACTTGTAATGTTTGTGTGATTTTATTTACCCAAAACAGTCATAATTTATTTTTACATAACCATTTTCCATTTTATCTCTTAGTATTAAACAGATTTTTTTCTTATTCTTATTTTTTCTTTACTGTACCATTAAGACTGGTGTACGCAAATAAGCTATGTTCTGATTGGCTGTCCTGTGTTCAGCCTCATTCAAAAAGGAGTCTGGATTAAAACACTCTTTGTATTTTGTGTGAATTGGCAGGGGTACACTGCTCTTGGCTGAATAGGCAGATATATGTAAATATGATGCTTTGAGTGACATCGCAAAAAACAATACACAATAAACAAAAAAGGTACGAATACACAATACACAAAAAAGGTACGAAACTGCCACTGGGGCAGTACCCCTCTTGTCACTGGGGAGGTACCCTCAAGGGTACATCTCAGTACCTTTAGTCAGTAATTGTACCATAATCCGTTTAAATATATGTTCTAAGTTGTATTGACACCACACACCCTGTCTCGTCTCCCGGCTTTTTATTTTATTGTTCTGTTTTAAAACATTATGTTATGAAAAGATACAAATATGTACTTTTCTACTGGAGAAAACTTATTTAGGGTACACAATTGGATTGGTTTTTGAAGTAGTGTTCCATGATATGGACCCTTTAAGTAAGTATGTTATTAAGTAATATGATCATATCCCATCAAGAACAAAAATTAAATACAGAAATAATTAATAAATAAATTCAGAGCCTGATCTTCTAATAATATTTTTTTAGGAAACTCATTAGAAGTCCAGAAAATGAGTGTTCTGTTTTCTGTTTTAGCTTACTGTTTCCTTCTTCTTCTTATCCTCTTTTGTACTGGTGAGTGTAGAATTATAAGGAAACATTTGTGAGTTTGTGATTAATAGTTGGCTAAATTGTTTCCTGTAATGTCAAACATGTTAGACCTTTGCTAACAAGACAGGACTTGTTGAGTCTGGAACACGCAATCAAAGAGAATGTAACTCTAGCTCATGTGTGTACACTCACCACAGTAAATCATTTGTTCTCAGATACTTCTCTTAAACTCTCCTTTGGGCTCTTTGGTCAAG